CTCAGGATCTTGGCTAGGTCAATGCCCGGAGCGGAATCCACCTCCACACTGACCTGGCCACCCACCTGGGCCCTTAGAGCACTGATTTCCTGGAAAGATACAGTAGAGATGAGCATGTCAGGGCCCAGAGCCTGCCGGGCCTGAGCCAGGTCACTCCCCCATCCCTCAGGCCAAAGGGGGCAGGTTTTCAGGTGCAGACCTAGGACCTGGCAACGGAGACAGACTGGGTCACCACCAAGCCCTGCTGGGACCCTGGGAGCCATGCTCCACACCCAGCGCCATGCAGAGGGTACAGCAAGTGTGGCCATGGTCGGACACAACAGAAGATGAAAGTGTCCTCGGCCCTGGGAAACTGGGGTGGCCCAGCTGGAAACCCACCTCCTCATGGTTCTTCTTCAGGTAAGCTAGCTCTTCCTTCAGGCCTTCAATCTGCATCTCCAGGTCGGCTCTGGCCAGGGTCAGCTCATCTAGTACCCTGCGCAGGCCGTTGATGTCGGCCTCCACGCTCATGCGCAGGGCCTGCTCCGTCTCAAACCTTGCAGAAGAAATAGTTGCAATCTGTACCTTCCCCGCCTCCCCAGGGTTCTGGAGATCATGGGGGTGTGCTTCAGACCAGCTGGGGTGAAGGAGGGCAGAGGCCAGCCCGCTGACTGCACTTGAGTTCCAAAAGGACCTGGGATTGCCTCCGCCACCCCCATTCTGACTTGTGCAGCCCCCCAGGGCACAGATGCTTACTTGGTTCGGAAGTCATCCGCAGCCAGACGGGCATTGTCAATCTGCAGGACAATCTTGGAGTTCTCAATGGTGGCACCAAGTATCTGGAAGGCAGAAGGTTGGCACCAGTTTAGCACACTGGCACTGCCCCCCTACCACTTTCCTTCCAGAGAGAGGGGAGCAGATGAGTATGCCCCCACTCCCTAAAGCCCCAGCCACCCCTCAGCTGCCCACAGGCCTATTCTGTGGGAGGCCTTGGAATCAGTCACCACCCAGGAGCCGAAACAGTGGTTTCTCACCACAGCCCATGAGGCCAAGCCAGGGGGTACGGGGTGAGCGGGCGAGGGAAAGCAGGTAAGCCTGGGAAGAAAGTATCTGAGACCTATGCCCAGGGAAATTATAAATGGTCTCCAGGGATCGGCAAATCAGATGCAGGCAAGTGCAGGAGTTAACACTTGTCTGTACTCCCCACTCAAATCATTCTGCCTTCAGGGAAGGGAAGTCTGTTTGTTGAGGATCTATTATATGCAGGCACCTTGTACCTCATCTTTCATGCCAGGTCAGTGGGTACACCTGTTTCACAGAGGTGGGAGCTGAAGTTCAGGATTCCTCGTCCAAGTTCACCTCTAATCTGAGGTCCCTCTGATTTGAAGGGCATGTTCACACCATTGATTAAGCTACTACTTGGATTCAGCATTTTTCGAAGAGCGGGTTTTAACGCATTAGTCAGTGTACTGACTGGTGGTGATTTGCACAGCTTTTAAGTGAAACAGAAGTAAGGATGTTTCAAGAAACTTTTACCTTCATTGTGTGTGTATATATGAGAAAGAGGATGCAAGGGGACACATCGTGAAATGTATTTCCTATTGTAGGTCATGATTTTAAAAGTGTGAAAGCACTGTACATCATATCTCTAGCCCTCCTTGTCTATACGGTATGCTCTGTGCCGCCTGTACCCAGCACCATACCAGGCACATGATGGACACTGGGCAGTGTTGTGGGGAGACGGAGCATGTGAGGCCACTAAATGTCCCACTGGCTTCAATACATGTCTTCAGCACTGAGCTCCAACCTCCTCCCTGTGGGTGGAGACCAAGCCCATCCTGCAGGCTCCACAGGGCCCTCCTAAAAGCCTGTGGCTTAGACCCCCATCTCCTGCCCAGGACAGAGAAGTGCTGCTACACCCAGTCCTCTGAGAGAGGTCTCCACATGCAAAGGACCCTCGGGACCTCTGCATCTAGGGGCCACAGCATACGTCCCTCCTTAACCCGCCAGGACCGCTCCCATTTTTCCTAGAACTTCTCTCAAGTCCCAGGTGGCCCCCTGGACTGAGGAAGACGGGCTTAATTAAGCCTGAGCGTGACGGAAACCAGGCCTGCCCCGCCAGAGAAGAGGAATGCAGGGGGCTCCACATCGGGCGCAGTTGTGGGGGGAGGGGGCAGGACTGGCCCAGGGTGGACCAGATTACTACCAGGCCAAACTCATTTCCCTGCCGCGACCGCGACCGCGGCCCCTAACCTAGACTTCAGGGCCGACCTCAGCCAGGTCCCACCTTCTCCCACTCCTCCGGACCCCTTTTCCCAGGCCACCTCACCCTCCAACCCCGCCCCCGCCACAGGCCACACCCACTTACCCCGCCCCGGTCCCCCGCCGCCGTCCCGCCACCCGGGCCTCCACTTCCTGCCCCTTTGTCCAGCTCCTACGCACCTGTCCATGTCTCCCTGCCCCACCCAGCGGTCCTCCCACGCCTAACGGGCTTGTTCTCCCCCAGCAGGAAGGGGGTCCGGGCGCCCGCCGCGCCCACCTCACGCCTAGCCTGGCCCGCGGGGCTAGGTTTCGCGGCAGGGGGCACTTCCCCTCCTGGCCACCGCCCACCTTGTCCCGCAGCTCCTGGATGGTCTTGAAGTAGCGGCTGTAGTCTCGCGCGGGCCCGGGCCCCTGCTTCTGGTACCAGTCACGGATCTTCACCTCCAGGTCGCCGTTGGCCGCCTCCAGGGCGCGCACCTTCTCCAGGTAGGAGGCCAGGCGGTCGTTGAGGTTCTGCATGGTCACCTTCTCGTTGCCCACCAGCAGCCCGTCGGACCCGGCCTGGGCGCCCCCATAGCCTCCACCGTAGCCCCCGGAGGAGGACGAGGACACGAAGCGGGCGGAGGACACCGACACGCCACGTCCGCCCGAGCCCCCGTGGATACTGGGCGCACGGAA